CCCCCCCCCCCCCCCAAGCAACAAAAGAGTGTCCACAACACAGGGTCAGAAGCCCTTCTGGGCCCCCTCTGACGCAAATGCATATGGACCTGCGTGGCGCACCGATTCCGCCACCGGGTTAACGGCCTAAAATCGTGGAGGTACTGATGGTTTAACACGCTGTGCACAATATGTGAAACAGGGCAAGTAGAGGATGCATCACATCGCCTGCTTTTTTCATGTCCCAAGAGCTCTGCAATTCTGGGTTGGAGGTAGCAGCACTTTGGCTAACAGTGATTGATGGGTCCAGCGCTCCTTCACCGAGATCAGAAGCTTGTATTACTCACAGGCTTTTCCACTCCCAACCAGCTTCAGACATACCAGTGTTAAAAAAAAAAAAGGAGACATACGAGCGTAAGCTGTTCCAGACAATGAGGTCCCCGTCAGTATGGGCGATCGGTAAGAGAAGATGTCAAGAGACAATCGTGACGTCGTCGTCTTCACTCCGAAAGTGGGAGCAGGAAGAGAAGAGGGGGGGGCGGCGGCGGCTGCGCGCTGAGAGTTCTTGCTTCGGCGTGGGGTGCGGGGGGGGGGGGGGGGGGGGGGGGGGGGGGGGGGGGGGGGTCTACAAAAATTAGGTTTGCAGGGGAATTCCCTCAGATGCTCAAACGTAACTGAGGGGGGCGCCAAACTTGGTTTCTAACTTTTTTAGAGTTTTTTTCTATGTTGGGCCGTCGCCCGGGCCAGTTGGGCAGAGGGGGGGTCGCCCGGCAAAACCAGACGGGTCAAAAAAGAGGCAAGGATCCCCCCCACAAAAAAAAAGACTTCAGGCCAGGACTGCGCTTGGCCCAAGCAGTCAGAATCCGGTCTTAACTCCGGTTTTGGTGATGGGTCATCCAGGGGGGGTTGGGGGGTATAAACAATGACTAAAGGGCTTGAAATTGTATTGCAATTTTACACAACATTTTCTTTTTTTCGGATTTTTTTGAAAATTTTTATTTTCTATTTTTTAGAATATTACGCGCTGGGATCGCCCGGGACCCTTCCCGGGCCCTGCCCAGTCTGGGCCGCCCGGGAGGGTACCCGGGCGAACTTTCCCCAGCTGGGCCGCCCGGGGACTAACACATGTTTTTTTAACTTTCTTCCAATCGCATCTTTTACAAGTGCCTGGCTGGCAGAAAAAGGACTTGACTGAAGCTGTCCAGTCTCAGAATGAATTGAAGCACCCCCGTTTCTTTATGATTCAAGTTTTCAATTTTCATTATTATTATTATTGTTATATTAATAATTTAATATAGTAAATAAGAAGGTTTTGAGAGGGATGCCATGGAAGATTTTCTTTTTCTTTTGTGAAGAGTGGAAGCCTTAAATCATGGAAGAATTTTCATCTCATGGAACTGACCGGTTCCCAGGTAATTCAGAATTGATTGTTGTTTATTCTGTTCATCTGATCGCAGCTGGATTCGAGCTCGGGTCTGTATTTCAATATTTCATGGGTGTGTAGTACCGTGTACCAAATGAGGAAGGCCCATTGGTATCCCTGGAAGGATGTTAAAAAACATGGGAACAGGTATGCCATTCCCACTGGGACCTGCGTTGGAACAGTTAAGGGACCACGATGGGACACAGTGCGAATCAACAACAATCTCGCAGGAGGGAGTCATCAATCATTCAGGCTCCCATCACGTGGACCACTCTCCTCAGCCTGTCAACACATCTGACAAGTTTCAGCATCTGCAGCTACTGACAAACTGAGGGAGACACTGACTTGACCTGTGTATGACCACCATCTCTCATAGCTGCTGCTCCAAGGAGACATTACAGCCTGCCTGCCTGCCTGCCTACCGGCCTGCCTACCTGTCGGCCAGTCTGCATGGCTGCCTCCCTACAAGCCTGCCTGCCTGCCTCAACTGCCGGCCTGCCTGCCTGCCTCAACTGCCGGCCTGCCTGCCTCCTTGCCTGCCGCCTCGACTGCCAGCCTGCCTGACTGCCGACCTGCCTGCTTGCCTGCCTGCCTGCCTGCCTGCCTGCCTGCCTGCCTGCCTGCCTATATGTCTGACATGTTTGCCTGACCTGCTTGGCCTGCTGCACGCTTGCCTTAACCCTCGACTGCCTGCCTGCCTTCCTACCTGCCTGTCTGCCTGCCTGCCTGCCTGCCTGCCTGCCTGCCTGCCTGCCTGCCTGCCTGCCTGCCTGCCAGCCTGCCCACCTGCTTGCCTGCCTGCCTGACTGCCGACCTGCCTGCCTGACTGACTGACTGACTGCCTACCTGCAAAACCATGCCAACCTGCCTGTTGCATGGAGAAGAAGCGCCTGTCTGTTAGGTTACCTGTTGGTGATATCAACAAGCTGTCAACAAAGTTGCAACGTACTGAAGAGCCTCGTTCGACACCACTTGAAAATACTTCAAGTGCACACTAAACGAGAAATTGTGATTATTTTACACTAACTCTATTTATGGTTCCATGTACACTTGAGGAGACCCTTGAACATGCTGCACTTGAAATCGAACTCCATGGCTTGCTGACCAATCCTGGACCAGCATCGCCTGCTGGAAAAAAAGAAAAACAAAAATAAGGCCCCACTTGGAGTGCTGGCGGTATCCGCTGGCACTTGAACTCAAGGTACCTCCCGGAGGTGACTTGAATTCAAGGGCGATTTTGGCTGTGTCGCCCTTGAGCTTCAAGGGCGCACCCTCGGAACGCAAAAAAGTGAAAACAAAGCGGATCGCTCTAAAGGGGGGGGTGGAACGATGATTTTTCGCTTCGCTCTTGAATGCAAGTGGTGTGGAACGAGGCCCTAAGTACTACTAACTTGCAAAAAGTTGCAAGGCCTTTTTAGCTTTGATCCTTCTTTTGCAGGGCTTTCTTTTTTTTTTTGAAAGAACGGTGAAACAGAAACTCTATGTACGTTCTGAACTCGAAATCTGAGGGGGAAAACAAAATTTAAATCACGGCCATTAATGGAGATGAATAATTATTGTAACAGAGATGAGGGTGTGATAGCCCATCTCGCAGAAATGTTCATCACCACCTTCAGGAAGGAATATTGCTCTGCCTACCATCTTCGGCCGAACACGACGGAACTGCATCCGACTGGAAAGATATCTGATATACATTCATCATCAGGGTGGGGCTGTGCTTGGGGAAAAAAATACAGTAGCTAAAGCGGTTCTGACGAGGTCAGGAAGAAATTCTTACCGGGGTGTCTGCTTGTTCCGTCGAGAAACCTGCACCGCGGATTGTAACCATAGGAGTCGCTGAGGTGGCCGAATCTGCAGATCAGTTGTCAGATGGCCATTAAAAAAACTGCAGATCAGTCGTCAAAAAAAAAAATATATATATATATATCGTCAAATATATATATATATTGTCACATAACTACAAACTAAAACAGCGCACTTTGCGGAACAAAGAATAAAAGCAAAAAACGGGCACAGTGATAACATGCAAAAATAAAAATAAAAAGAAAAAGAAAAAACAAGGGCAGATTGAAACCATTAAATTTCTCATTCTTCTTTGAACTCCACCTCCACTGTGCCTCTCACGTGGAAGGCTAGCCACGTTGATGAAGTTGAGCGCGAGCTGCCCCCATCCTTGTATGCCATAACAGCCCACTTGCACGCTGTGAGAGAGGAAGAGTGAAGGGGAAGGTGTTAAACACAGGGAAACGCTCAAGAATGAGGCTGTCCTTGACGACAGAAAGGACACACACTGTAAGGATGGGGTGGATGAGTGCATGGAAGACCTAACTGAGCATTCTCAAAACAACAACTGCCACGACGGCTGGCATTAAGCATGCCAACCATACATTCCTGACAAATAGCATGTCTATTGCAGGCCAGAATAAAGGA